TACGGACGAGCGGTAGGATTAATATCTGAAGCGCTTAATTCTCAATCGAATTCGTTCGAAAACTGTCCGCAGTATTTTACGCGCAGCGTATCACGTCCCGGAGCAATTTCCATTAATCGAAAATCGTTGATCAAAGGGAAGACAAACTCGCCGCGGACGACTCAATCCGTAGTTTAAATTAAAATCGGACGGTCGCCACGAAACGGAGGAAGAAACGAAGCCGAGTGCATCGTCGCTGCGGACAGATGCAGATGTGATTAATCATTCGCGGTCATAAAACACTTTCGAGTGACTTTTGCCTCGCGCCGACTTTCCGGAAGCGCGCCGTCTAGCCATCCGAGCCGACTCAGACGTGAAAAGAGAGGGAAAAAAATATCACGAGATTTTTTTCGTACCGTTTTTGCGACTGTGCTCCCCACCAGCCGCGGCGGGTAATTAATTACAGTCGAGCATGAAACCTTTCAAGGAGGCTATTATCGCGATTATTATTACTTTACGCGTCGTGCCGTACGGATATTTAGGGCCCGCGATTCGTTAACGTTCCGTGGATGCATTTAACGAAGTAAGAATCGCTGATCAGGTTGCGAAGAGATCTATCAAACCGGATACCCGCTCGAATTATAAATTCATTCTTTACTGCAAACACAAGGGACTTATTCCCTGAGAAACTGAGACTTCTTCTTTGTCGTTCTGTATAAAAACACGTTGAATGCCGCGCGATTTCACGCAGCAAACTGCACGGAATGAGAAGAAATATGATATTAAATTATTTAATTGAGTTGCATTAATAGTATTGCACGTTTATCTTGCTGAGTGTCACCACGTTGCACAGTATTGTTTATAACAAGGAAATGTTTTCGAGTAATCTACAATTCGACACTCATAGTAATCTGTTAAACAAGCAGCGAACGTTGAACGACAAAAGTATACTTTTCTAGTACGAAGCTATTCGCATGAACGGTTGAAGTAACAATGTTGTAGAATATTAACAAGACCCGACAAAGTTTTCTCGTGGCGCTCTTCATTTCCGATCCGAGCGACGCTGAACCCGTAAAACGTGGAAAAAAGCACCGAAACACGCGTAGTGTCGCCTAGGCCTCGGTAATAAAGGACTTTTTTTCTCCCCCCGCGACACGATAGTTAAAGCCGTTCTTCATTAACATGTACGCATGTGTAATTAAGTGGCCCATTGAGAGACGTCGTTTGTCCCGGCAGCCCCGTGGAACACGATACACACCGAAGGACTTAATTAGCGAAACGCCAAAAGGCGATACATCGCGAGGATCGCCGCCGGGATCGTTCAAACGTTGAAAGCTGTAAATTCATGAAACGATCGTGTACGTGCCGTGACAGAAAAGACGCTTATCGACGACGTAAGTACGCACGAACGACAAAGTTGCAGCTGGTGAAGCTGTCGAGGCGGATGGGCCTCGCGCCCCTTCGCAATCGCACGCGGAACGTCCGAAAGGATCTTGCTACCTTAGCAATCGTAATTGTTCAATCGCCGAAAATGTCGGAGATCGTGTTGATCAAAAAACCGTCGACTGTTTCCTTTAGGGAGGAGTCCGTTGGAAGTTCTTTCACGTTTGACAAGATTTCTGTCGGGAATTTAAACATTTCACTGACTTGTAGCACCGGTAGCCTTTGCGTTTGATTCGCGAGTTGAATGGTATTGAGTTTAGCATTCAAGTTAGAGAGCATTGAATTAATATTCTAGATGAAATGTATCGAGTTAGGTGATATTCATGCTGGAAAGCAGTAATTTAATAATTTGCACGTCGAGTGGCGATGAATCGGGAACACTCATTTTGGAGTATGTTAGTTTTGGTAACATTCGGCTCGAATAGTGTAGTTGATATTGGAATGCGTTGAACATTAGGTTCGGTGGTGTTAAATTCTACAGGAACCGAACCCTTGAACATTTAATAAGGAATTATCGCTGAGTAATTGCTCCAGATAAGGATGAAGTATTAAACGTTTCACTTGAAATGAGCCACAACCACGTCCTATTCGCATAATAGGTACGAACACGTTGACTCGAACATAGTATCATCCGCGATCATGATAATTGCGAAGCGTTAATGAATTATGTGTTAATTAAATGGCGTTTTAATTGCATCTAGTACTCGTAAACGCAATCTCCGTGGAATAAAGGTCTCGTTCTGTTTGTATTTATGAATTTTCACGCGTAATGCAGAAACTCACGTCGATTATCTGATTTATGTGTGAGCCCAACGCATCGACCATGAGACTCATTAAACTTCATAAGGCTAAACAGGAATAACCGGGATTATTTATAACGTACATCTGATTATCTAATTTCTCACCGGGATTTAGATAACAATCCGTAACCCGCGAGGCATACGAAAAAAAGGTTACAAAAAGACAAATCGCCAGTCCTCATGTGAACGCGACGTTGCCCCGTCCGGTTATTTTCATTTTCCTATACGTTTAAAGAGTGGCTCCCGTGCTCAATTATATCGCAACAGCTGCTGTTATTCCACGTTCACTTTATTGCGAAACAAAATGCTGGAGATTCCTTTCGTTCGTGTTTTATTCATATCTGTATGCAAGCGCACTTGAAAATACTATATCCTCTCGCTGGATAATCAATTATTCTTCCATATATTGCGCGTTAATGTATTCTATAATGCAAATTTATGTGCTATCAACCTTTAACAGAGACATCATTGCGCAATCTCTTTCGTGCAGCAAAGGAACACGAGCGAGTCGACAATGTGTACTCGACAAAGAAGAATAAGAAACCTCCGGCGAAGTACCCGATCAAATGTATACAAGTGAAGAAATCTTGTTCAACAGCAGATTCTGTTGCATCGTGTCAGAAGATATTCTAAGCTCCGATTCCGAGCAAAAGCGTTAACGATGTGCACGAGCGCGAAAACGAATTAGAAGGAAAATTGCACGTGGTTGAGCCAAAGGGGCACCGGCATCGAGAGCTGTAATTCTGATCCTAGTTATTTCTAGGATCTGCATACTGACCACGGCCCGTGTCCGTGCCCCTGACTTCCAGTTGCATGAGCGAAGAAAATGGAAAGATTTCGTGCGTGAAGTATTATTGGCGACCCGCTAATACACGAGAGTCAAGGTGAGGATGAAGGGGTATTAGAAGTTCACGCTTGGACGGAACACGCGAGTACTCGCAACCGGCACGCGACTGATTTACCGGTCAGCTCACGCGAAAAATAAAAATCCCTCGAATTTTCTTCCTTCCTTTATCTGTCCTCGATCATCCTGCGCCGGGAATGACAGACGTTAAAAGTCTTTTAACATTTTATTAAGACCTCGATCTTAATTGCGTTCGTTACGTTTAACGTTCCGATAGGATCCTCTTACCTCGCGACGATCAAACTGTTCGGAAACTAACAAATTACTTCCTTTATTCAATCTTTTATGAAATCGTTGTATGTACATATTTGAAATTGATTTAGAGGTTTAGATATTTCACTGTTTCTATGAATAAGATTTAGCGAAGATCGTTTGTGTATTAAACGAAGTTTATTTCTTTCTAAAGTGTTCGCGGCGGAAATAAAATTAGCGGAAGATTGTTTAAATTGGAATAAATCCATTGAACTCGCTTTACGTTCACAGTACCTTTTAATTTTCTGTTCGATTCCGTCAGTTCGAGAAAACAATTTTCTAAAGAATCATCCCGTTCCAGTGTTCAAATGCAATCGCTTCGATTCCTGACGATCCCTGGGGCTCGAGGGGGGTTGTTTTATAGAAATGGCCATGTCGGCCATTCCGAGGGCCAAGAGTGGGGGGAATGGCAACGAGAAAATCCTATTACAACTTATATTCGGGACACGGCGGTCTCGACAGAGGCTCGGGGAGAGACTCACCCTCCGCGCGGATCCGTATTGACGCGAACGCCGAGAGAAACCCACCCTCCGGATTAACCAATCAAATCGCAGCATCCGTCGCGCATGCGATCACTTCGATATCCGTCCCCCAGGTCAATCGGTTATGGTGTCCAGGGATAGGCGTCTCCTTTTAGAAGCAGACGGTCGTTAGATTCTTTTAAAATTAAGGGTTGACGATCGTAAATAATCCTTCAAAACTTACACTTTCATATCCGCAATAGAAAATTACTAGAAACTTGAAAGTTTAAAAGCTTCCACTGTTTTTCAGATTGTTAAGAAATTTGAGAATTTTGAAATTCGTGTATAGATTCGGTCGATAGGGGTTGAGTACCTTATTTTCGAAGTTCCTTTCTTCACGTTTAAAGTAGAAAGTGCTTGGAAGTTTGGGAGATTTGGATAAATATAGAACCGAAACTTCTGCTAAAGGAATGATAGATGTATATAGAATAATTGGTAAGGGTTGATGGATGTGGATGGCATTTAAAGTTCATTCTTTCATGCGCAAACGGAAGGAATCGCCGAAAATTTGACAGGAACGTTGCCGGAATGGAAGGACATATCGGTGCAGAAGCGGGGCGCTCTTCATATTTCAGAACAATAAAGGCTGTCTGGCGTGCCAGGCACGGGCACCTACGGCAACGGGTCGAAATAAAACAAAACAATACAGGTTCAGCCCATCGCAACAAAGCGAGTAGACGAGGCTTAAACGGCTCCCCGTGTCGACGGTATAGCTCTCGGCCGTTTAAACTGGGACGGATATTTCGGGCTTCGATACGTACGTTCGAGTTTCAGGCACGTTTTCGTATTCGAAACCCGGTATATCGGGACGTCGATAAATGGGAAAACTTTCCGGAACGTTTTCAGCCGGCCGCAGCCCCGCGTTTTCGGAAAGGAAACGAGCTAACGCCTGCACTTTCTGGGTTATCGCGGGCTGGAATTTTTTGGGGCGTTATCCCCTTTTGAAACTTGAGTTATAGAGGATTCAGATAACCAACTGTTGGTAGCGAAAAGAATGACTGTTTCAAATCATCAATTTTCTAATCGAGGTTTAATTTAATTGAAATATTATTTGGGAATCGAGATCGATCTACGTTACGACTTATAATTTTTCTGTTACAGGCGCTAAACGGGTTCCTGCTCATCCTCACTTGCGACGGGGAGGTGTTCTTCGCTACTCACAGCATAGAAAGTTACCTTGGCTTCCATCAGGTAGAAACTATTTAATAATTTACTAAGTAATGATCCTTGATAAATCTTTACTACTTCAGACCGTCTCAAACGTTGTCAAACATTCTTCAACTCCGTCAAACCTTATCAAACACATGAATTATTCTTTCGAGAAGAATATTAAATATTACAGAACACTTTGAACGCTTAATAGAATGCCTGGACTATCAATTTTTCCATGCGAACGTGATTGAAATTGTTTGATAGTATATGAGACGACAAGACGTCGATCGCGTGTTCCTTGAGCTCAAGGAAACGACGTATTTATACGATATTCCACCCCCATTCTCACATTATTCCATAATTCTGAGCACAGTATCTGCACCCTCGGTGTTGGTTTATCTTCACTCGACTTGTGTCCACACCCAACACTCGCAGGTCACGCCAGGCCCGTCAACTTCGTTCTACGTGTCACGTTTACGCAGGTATCATCCCCTTGACTGAGGAAACTCGCCCTGCTCCCTTGGCCGGATAACGGACGTACATTTTTCAAAAGTACCGAACGATCATCGGGGGTTGAACCTCTTCGCCGGCCACTGTCCACGTCCCATCCCGTGACCCGTCCTCCTACGTGTCGCGAATTACTTTGTTTCAATCCCCGTCTGTAATTCTGTCGAAATTCAGGGAGTGTTTTTGGTGCTTATTCCGACACCAAGGGGAAGAAACTGGGCGACGCCTCGTTTTCCGGGGAATGGGACAGCCCCTTTGATGGGGTTGAATCCATAACTTCCGTCGCTCTTGATTTGCTACTTTCTTCATTAATATTGTTCCTAACTTTTACTTTGTTCAATAGAATAGGAGTAGGTGAATTTCGAATTTCAACCCCTTTCGAAATATGGTTTAGCCTATCTTCATATTTATTAGTATACATCTTCCAAGTATATTATTGTATACTATTACTTCAAACGTAAATATTTAATGAATCAGTTAACTATAATATAAGCTGTTATTGTTATTCATATAAAAGTATTCCCAGTTACTTTTCTCCAATTTCTTCGGCGTGATTGGTCTGACGTTCAACAAAGTGAACGATAAAACACTCGACTCGACGACGCCATTAGCGAAAGACCCGTGGGACGAAGAAAAGCACACGGTTCTGAGCGATCGCCCCGCGAAATTTGTTTACAAGAAACGCGACATTGTAACGCGTTTCCCTTTGCGGGATCATCGAATCGGAAAATCATCATCCGTCGTTTCCTGCAATTACATCTTGTTCACAAAGGCGTTCGCGTGCGTTCCCGGCGAACAGTCATCGTGTGCGTTGGGAAATCATCATCCGTCATTTTATTCCTTTCTCCCCGCTGCCCCCTGCCCCTTACTCTTTCCCGCCCCTGACCCCTCGATGTCTGTGCTCCGCGTCCAACCGTCCTGTCCTTCGCCATTTTCTTCTGGCAATATTGTCGCAAACTCGCGTGCGTGGTTGCGTGCGCGAGGATCGCATTTCGGTGTGTTCACCGGGGGTTGAACGATATCGTTCTGTTCCGGATAGCGAGGCGAATGGCTTTTTCTCCGGTTAATCCGCCACTTTCATGATTTCATGCTTGAAACGCTGGTCTCCCGCTGGGAAAGCTACCGCCGAAGAATTTTGACGTGTGCTCGCCGTGGAAAATTGGCTGATTTATTAGCGATTACAGATAATATCGACGTTTTTATCGGGCTTTCGTAACTGCCAGACATCTCTGCGTAAATATGCTATCTCGACTTTCATGTTCCTTTGTTTAATGTACGTTGCAAGGGCCGTTATTCGTGAAACGATCGCGAGATAGCGTCAAAAAAATAGCAAATTAAGCACGTTTGAAACGAAAAGTTTGAACGCGTAATATTGCCGGTATCGTTACTTTGTCTGGAGAACTGCAGAAATTCCTGACCCCGTTGAACTTTTAATTAGTGGCAGCGGTGCCGGAGACCACGGGACTTTTTTTTCCATAATGAAGGTGGTGTTTAAAGAACGTTAAACCTCATTAAATCTTATTTCAGATACCACGCCTATCTTAATTCCCTCTCTCCCCCTTATTTTCCTTTTTCCTTTTACGTCGCGTTTCGCCTCTCGATCGCATTTAACGGGTAATTTGTTTATATAAGCTGGGAGGGGAGAAGGTAGCCGGTTGGCCGGCAAGAATAATTCCTACGGTGGACTTTGCGCTAGCATTCATTGAGATGTAACCGGGCACGCAAACGGTTCACACACACGTCACGATACCCGGGCAACGATGATTTTTCGTCCCGATTAGGGTATATTTAAGAGGAACGAAGTGTATCGTGTCTAATAAGCGACGCAGTGATTTCCCCGGCGGTCGGGAGTTTTCGTCTCGCCTTCTTAACCCCTCGCGCGACCGGTTTTTATGGCGCTCATTACTGAAACTTAATAAAACGCACCGATGCTACAAAGAAACTCACTGTTCGCCCTGGACACGTTTGCAACTTCTTATCATACAGAGAACTCTAATAAAATATCCCACGCAACATACAACAAATTCGCACAACAACAATATATTCCTAACAGTTTCAGTCATATAATCATCAAATTCTTGTTACACAAAGACACCAAGTAGCTCCCAAACGTCCATATCTTCTTTACAACAATATACTCCTAACAAACACCTCGATCCAACATCAACAAACTTAGCACCCGTCATCTACGAAAACATCATCCAAGAACAGGAGTTGAACGCTTGACGGCTTCTCCATTCGACGAACAGTAAAAAATGGGGTTGTACGCGTCCCCGTGTCCATTGATACGCGACGAGGCACGCAAACGCGTGCACCCGGGTGCACGCATCGAGAGGGGACCTGCGCGCGGGGGCGAGTGCGATGAGAGTAGCCCAATGATTTCCCGACTCGATGACCGTGTATCCGAGCCGACGTAATCGCGGGGCGTTTCGGATGACGCGATTACACGGCGTTGTAGCCCCGCAGAAAGCGCGCGCCACCGTCTACCCGGGCCCCAACCCCCACCCCCGTCGCCGAACGACGGAAAAACCGCGTAATGACAGCGTCGGGCCGCCAA